TATAAAGAGAGAGAGAAAGAGAGAGATAATTATTATTTAGAAGAAAAAGAAAACATCTTTTTTTTTTTTAGAACATGCTACAGGTTTCCAGTGAAGTTACACGGGTCTCTTGCTGTTGCAGTTGCAGGGAAAGTGATAATGGGATTTTAACAAGCCCCATAAATCAGTTAAGTGTGAACAGGCTTTATTGCCCATAGATTACACGTGCCTTTGTTTGACAAGGGTCAAACTTCAACCCCTTTACAATTTATTTTCCCTATTGACCCGAAAAAGGAAACTTGATATTCTCCCCCGAAAAAATGACTTGAAAAACAAAAAATGAAATAAGCAGGCATTTATAAAATCTAAAAATACGTTTTTGCAGTAAATAGTATATTATTAAAATAGGCTACATGTGACCTTACACGGTTACACTGCTCATTAAAAAAAAAAAAAAAATCTAAATTAGGCCTACATAAAATGTCAAAATTAAATGTTTAAATAAGAAGTGAGTAATTGAGCAGCCCCAACTTTTTTCTCAAGATTGAATGTCCCTTCTTAACGTCTGTGTCTCCGTCGTTTAGAGATATTCTCAGTGTCATATCTGCATGATCTCCAGCTCTGCGCGTTTGCAGCGGGTTATCACCAGTGCCATGCCTCCTTCTGTCTGATGTGTTCCTCTGATTGGCATCAGTGCCCGCAGATATTTTCAACAGATCCTCCACTCGCGGCCATCTGGGGCAGATCACAATCACTGGCTTCATCTGAGCCGTTAAAGTATTAAATCCAGTATATCCTTTCAACGAGCACAACTTTAGAAGCGCTCGAGCAGCGACCCCATGACAGAGCGAGACCCCGGATCCGAGTGCTAATCAAGAGCACTTAGTTCGGTTAGAGGAAAAAAAATCGTTTAACGCATGCATTTAATATCTCGACTGAATTATGATAATTAAAAAAAATATATATCAATTTTATTTTCAAGTTTAAATTAATAATAATAATAGTAAATACAAATTGCGATGTAAAATTCAATCGTTTCGAAAATCACATTTTGTAAATCTGTAAATTGTATCCCGTTTCTGAAGAACATCAACACCTCGCATGTTTATTATAAATAGCATATATTTAGCAAAGACAGCTCATTATTATTAGAGGGAGGTATTTTGGTAAAGATGTGGCAGGATTAGTGAGATTATTGTTGCCGCACACACATTAAATCACAAACTGTTAGACCACAGGCGATGCCTTTATCTGTCATGACTATTAGCTACTAGGGGTATTAATAATTTTGGGGGTTTGCAGCTAAATGGCGCTCGTGTGCATGTTAATGAAGTGCTCACGATTATTCACGACATCACCTCGTTCAGTATTTAACAATGAAACATAAATACAAAGTCCTCAACGCCCCCACCCCCGTGTGTATGCTTGTAAGTGCCTCTGGGTTATACGTGTGTGTGTGTGTGTGTGATGCAGATTCCGCACTGTAATCACTGCTCTGCTAAGCTTGGGTTTGCTATTTATATGACAGAAGAAGAGCAGAAAAATAAGAGCTTGCTTAAGGGCATGTGTACTAGTGTCCTTTCCATAATTTATAGATATGTGTGTATACATGCACGCATGTCATTGCATACACATGCATAGTATAATTTTCATCTTGCACAGATATAGAGAGAAAATATATTATTATTTATATTTAAAAAAAAGCATATTTATTTTTTTTAGAAACCTGTCTTAGATGAGAACATGCTACAGGTATCCAATGAAGTTGTATGGGTCTCTCGCTGTTGCTATTGCAGGGAAAGTGATAATGAGACTTTAACAAGCCCCATAAATCAGTTAAGTGTGAACACGCTTTATTGCCCATAGATTACACGTGCCTTTGTTTGACGAGGGTCAGACTTCAACCCCTTTGCAATTAATTTTCCCTATTAACCCGAAAAAAGGAAACTTGATATTCACCCTAATAAAAAATAAATAAAATAAGCGAACATTTATAAAGTCTAAAAAATATGTTTTGCAGTAAATAGTATATTAATAAAATAAATGTAACCTTGCAGCCCATACATGCTTATAAAAAAACTAATCTAAAGGAATAAAACCTCAAAAGTGCATGTTTAAATAAGAAGCGAGTAATTGAGCAAGCCTAGCTTTTTTCTCTACAACATTTCTCAAGATTGAATGTCCTTTCTTAACGTCTGTGTCTCCGTCGTTTAGAGATATTCTCAGTGTCATATCTGCATGATCTCCAGCTCTGCGCGTTTCCAGCGGGTTATCACCAGTGCCATGCCTCCTTCTGTCTGATGTGTTCCTCTGATTGGCATCAGTGCCCGCAGATATTTTCAACAGATCCTCCACTCGCGGCCATCTGGGGCAGATCACAATCACTGGCTTCATCTGAGCCGTTAAAGTATTAAATCCACTATATCCTTTCAACGAGCACAACTTTAGAAGCGCTCGAGCAGCGACCCCATGACAGAGCGAGTCCCGGACAAATCAAGAGCATGCATTTCATGTCTCGAATGCATTATAATAATAAAAAATGTACATTTTATTTGCAACTTTAATTTAGTTAATAATCATAATACTAATAAAAGATTACGATGCAAAATTAAATCGTTTCGAAAATCACATTTTGTAAACTAATCTGTCAATTTTATCCCGTTTCTGAAAAGTATCAGCACGTCGCATGTTTAGTATACGTTGCATATATTAAGCAAAAACAGCTCATTATTATCAGTGGGAGGTATTTTGGTAAAGATGTGGCAGGATTAGGGAGATTATTGTTACCGCACACACATTAAATCACAGACTGTTAGACCACAGGCGATGCCTTTAACTGTCGTGACTATTATTAGTGGTATTAATAATTTTGTTGGTTTGTGGCTAAGGCGCTCGTGTGCATGTTAATGAAGTGCTCACGATTATTCACGACATCACCTCGTTCAGTATTTAACAATGAAACATAAATACAAAGTCCTCAACGCCCCCACCCCCGTGTGTATGCTTGTAAGTGCCTCTGGGTTATACGTGTGTGTGTGTGTGTGTGTGTGTGAGGAAGAGAGAGAGAGAGAGAGAGAGGGAAGAAATGGAAGAGAAATACGTGTTAGAATGTTTTTGACTATTTGGCACACATGTTCTGCCCTGATTGCCAATAGCGAGATCAATTAATTAATCTGTTTTACCAACGAAAAAAAAAAAAGTTGCTAAAAATGTCGTTTCGCATAATTACAGCCTACATCAGTTAAAGGTCGTTTGAAAGTTCATGCAGTAGAAACTGCATCTTTGTCAGTACCAAAAAGAATAAAGGAAAACAAATGCATGAGGTTTAGAGTATGGAAATGCACATCTTTAATTATTTAAGCTCACTCCAAGAAAGCCAGTGTTTCATTTGAATAATTCAATTCAGAGAATAATTTTTACCAAATGTTTAATACACAATATTAGCCATCTAAAAAAAAAAAAAACGCACCTCGAAAAGAATACAGTTGTTTGATCGTCAATACCTTCTGAAGATCAGTGTCATCGCGAGTGTTGCGTTAATTCCCCAGTGTTTATAAGAATTACGAGCCATTCAAATAAGTTCCGCGTGCCTATCAGTTCATTTCCCCAGTGCTGGGCAGCTGTAAAATCGTGTAGACAGGTTGTCACACTACAGTGAATGGATTCTAATGCTAAACATTTAACATACAATCCTCCAAACAGTGCAAAAGCGGCCCTGGCCAATGCACTAACCACATGCGCCAAACGAGGAGGAGCCTGGGACGCCAATCAAAGCATCAACTTCAAATTGTATCTGAGAGATCAGCCCAGGACCTAGGGGCAGAGACATCAGTTGGAGCTCAATTGTTGATCTGATCACATCCGACGGACTTGCTGCAAAAGAGAAGCTGAGATTTAAAGACGAGCGTTTCCCATTCTCACTCTGTGCTGCTTGAGAGAGAGAAACTCTTTCACTTCTTGCTTTGGTGGGCTATTTGCTTTTTGCCTCGTTTTGGCTTGCGACGTGGCGAAGGAGATGTCTTTCCCCCAGCTGGGTTACCCGCAGTATTTAAGTGCCTCCCAGGCGGTGTACGGAGGCGATCGGCCGGGAGTGCTGACTCCGTCGTCCCGCGGAGGGAGCGTTGAGATCGGGGGAAGCGCGTCGGCGGCCGCCGCTGCCGTGTCCTCGGTGCTGGGCATGTACCCCTACGCACACAACTACAGCGCCTTTCTGCCTTACACCAGCGCCGATCTGGCTCTTTTCTCCCAGATGGTAAGAAAAGCAGATGTACTTTCACGAAAGCTGCTCGCTTTTGTTTAGCCTTTTCTTGCTTTTATTCTGCGAGCGTCCTGTAGATTATTGCCTTTCGGGGGGATTGCAGCACATGCGAGGAAAATGTAACTTAAGCTTGCAATGTGCGTGGGAAGTTTCTCTGCAGATTTGTAACATTTAGCTATGGATTTGGCACGCATAAAATTAAAAATTCCTACAATTCTTTCCCACCGCCATTTTACACCGTAAGAAAAGTTTTATCTCGGCTCGGGTTTGGAGTTGAAGAACAGTTGTGCGGGTTTTTCGTCAAAACACGAATCGTGTACCAAATTGCTACTTTTTAAAACGCGCTATAATTATTATTAAGCTCAATTTTCCATTTAATAATTAGTTTAAATTGTTTCGATCGATAATTTTGATGCTCGCGCCGGAAAACAATGTAAAACGAATTATTGTTATTGAAACGGCTCAGAAACTACTTTACAGTTTATTACAGCATGCCTTCTTGTTTTGTAGTAAGTGATATCAATGATATCAAAATGATTATAAAAGAGGTTGATGAATGTGATGCTTAACAGTGGAATCTCGTTGCATTCCCCCCAAAAAAATATATTGAAAGTGAGAGTTATTAATCAGTTGTGCCTTTCGCTAACCTATAGCAATTCATTTCAAATTGCGTGCATGAATCTCTTTTGCATGGGAAATTAATTCAAATTATATAAACATTATGCATTAATTCTTAGGGGACGAAAAAGGCGAAATATACTTTTCCTCACAGTTCTACTTTTTTTCGACGAACAGGCTTATCAAACAAAGTAGTATATTTGCGTCGCTTGTTGTATAAGGTTATATAAATACAAATAATGATGTCGGTAATATGCTAAGGCCTGTAGGTCACGAGCGAACCTTGCGTTAAATATACACTTAATTATAATCACTAAATAATGCCGTCATTCTGTCTCATTTTCCATAATGCCATTCTCATTAAATTTGGGATAATGTTTATGTATCAGTCTTTCGTGTTATCACTATCTGTGGCCTAGCTTTTTTATATAACAATACTAGTCGAATGTCAAAACAAACGTTGGCTTATAAAAGACATGGGGAAAAAAACAAACAAATAACAGTGCAAGCAGAAAAAAAAAAAGAACTCAATCAAGTGTTCTAGAGGAGACTGGATTGAATTAGGAAGAAATAATGACTGATGAGTTTGCGAGAGAAACTGAAAGTTCGATATGGAATTTTGGCACAGCATATTCCCGAATTTATGTGTGCGCTTTGTCGTGTGTAATAAATGCCATCTATATGATATTTTGTTCCTTTCTCCTTGTGGATCTCATTGTAGGGCTCTCAGTATGATTTAAAAGACAGCCCTGGCGTGCACCCCGCCAGCTTCGCTGCCCACACGAGCCCGGCCTTCTACCCTTACGGCCAGTTCCAGTACGGAGACCCAAACAGGCCTAAGAACGCCACGCGGGAGAGCACCAGCACTCTGAAGGCCTGGCTCAACGAGCACAGGAAAAACCCCTATCCCACCAAAGGCGAGAAGATCATGCTGGCCATCATCACCAAGATGACCCTCACGCAGGTGTCCACCTGGTTCGCCAACGCCAGAAGAAGACTCAAGAAGGAGAACAAGGTGACATGGGGCAGGAGTAAAGAGGACGAAGAATGCAACCTTTTTGGGAGCGACAACGAGGGGGACGCCGAGAAAAACGAAGATGAGGAGGAAATAGATTTGGAGAGCATAGACATCGACAAGATCGACGACAACGACGGGGATCAAAGCAACGAGGAGGACGAGGAAAAGCGCGGGGAGCTCGAGGCCTTCGAGAAATCAAAATCCAACGCCATTTCCGGCAGCAAAGAGCCGTCGGACGGAAACAACAACAACACCAGGGTTCTGTCGCCGGGTCGCCAGGGAGGTTTTCCAGTTCCGGTTAGCAATAAGCCCAAAATATGGTCGTTGGCAGAAACCGCGACCAGTCCCGATAGCTCGCAGAAACCTACGTCACCCTCGGTTCCCGCCACTCACCCGGCCTTCCTGCCGAGCCACGGACTGTACACGTGCCAGATCGGGAAGTTCCACAACTGGACCAATGGCGCGTTTCTGGGCCAGAACTCCCTGCTGAACGTGCGGTCGTTCCTGGGCGTCAATCAGCATCACCACAATCACCCGCTTCACTCACAGCAGCAGCAGCAGCAGCCCTCGTCGGGGGTGTCATCGATGGCAGCCGAGAACAGTGAGAATGCGCCAGAGGACCTGAGTCCAAAACACATAGGTATGCGCGAATCCCACCAGGCCTGTGTATGCACAACACACGTGACATGGCTGCAATGCCATTTTGAATGTCACTTATTATTATTATGATGATTATTATTATTGCTGTTGCTATTTTTGCCCTCAATGTATATGCCTATAGCCTATATAATACACAATAAAACAAATATGTGCAATATATCCTGCGCACATTCTAATTCCAATTAATCTAATTCCAACGTTTGGTTTTTAAATCTCAGATCGGGAAAGCGTCCTCAGAAATGAATCACCAACGCAACCTTTAAAGTCATCCTTTGTCCTCTTCACGACAGGTACATTTGCATTATATTCTTATTTTTCTTTCTTTCTTTTTTATCTTGTCATTGTCATTATTATTTATTATTATTATTATTATTATTATTATTAGCGGTAGCTGGCTATCATTATACGAGATGAAAGACTCTTGGGATAAAGCTATTTCCAGCAGACAGGCAGAGAAAAATCTGCGCTTAGCGCTTATAATAAATAGTTGTGCTTTTCCTGGTGACAAAAGGCCACGGTTTCCCTCCCCACACACACTCTGTGTCTCTCAGGAGAATAACTACTTATCAAGTCACCGAGGCTGTGTGCTTTTCCTAAAGACCCTTGGGAAAACTGAACCTCGGGGGAGCAGTCTTGCTCAAACTTTCCCCTTTTAAGTGCCACAATTTCAGCAGGCCCGTTGCGGGGGGTTTTGGTGTCTTGACTTATGGTTATTTATGTACTGCATAAAAGTAAATCGCCATATTGTATCGAAAGTCTGCATTTTAGACCGAAAGAGGCTTTTGTAAATTGTTATGTGGATGGGAAATAATTTATTGGTTACGATAAAAAAAAAAAGTGCATTAGCTTTATAACTTACAGCAGTAGCCTACACATTATTGGTTAGTCTGCCATTTCCGGCAGCAAAGAGCCGTCGGACGGAAACAACAACAACACCAGGGTTCTGTCGCCGGGTCGCCAGGGAGGTTTTCCAGTTCCGGTTAGCAATAAGCCCAAAATATGGTCGTTGGCAGAAACCGCGACCAGTCCCGATAGCTCGCAGAAACCTACGTCACCCTCGGTTCCCGCCACTCACCCGGCCTTCCTGCCGAGCCACGGACTGTACACGTGCCAGATCGGGAAGTTCCACAACTGGACCAATGGCGCGTTTCTGGGCCAGAACTCCCTGCTGAACGTGCGGTCGTTCCTGGGCGTCAATCAGCATCACCACAATCACCCGCTTCACTCACAGCAGCAGCAGCAGCAGCCCTCGTCGGGGGTGTCATCGATGGCAGCCGAGAACAGTGAGAATGCGCCAGAAGACCTGAGTCCAAAACACATAGGTATGCGCGAATCCCACCAGGCCTGTGTATGCACAACACACGTGACCCACATGGCCGCAATGCCATTTTGAATGTCGCTATTATTATTATTATTATTATTGCTGTTGTTATGTTTTCCCTCAATGTCTTGGCATATATATAACACATAATACAATAAAAACAAATCTGTAGCCTACAATAAATGCTGCGCAAAATTCCAATTTCAATCAAACTAATTCCAACGTTGTGTTTTGTTTTTAAATCTCAGATCGGGAAAGCGTCCTCAGAAATGAATCACCAACGCAACCTTTAAAGTCATCCTTTCGTCCTCTTCACGACAGGTACATTTGCATTATATTCTTCTTATTTTTCTTTCTATTTTTTTCTCCCTATTATTATTAGTATTATTAGCGGTAGCTTGCTATCATTATACGAGATGAAACGCATCGAACGGCTGTTTTTTAAAACCTCTTATCGGAGAAAGACTCTTGGGATAAAGCTATTTCCAGCAGACAGGCAGAGAAAAATCTGCGCTTAGCGCTTATAATAAATAGTTGTGCTTTTCCTGGTGACAAAAGGCCACGGTTTCCCTCCCCACACACACTCTGTGTCTCTCAGGAGAATAACTACTTATCAAGTCACCGAGGCTGTGTGCTTTTCCTAAAGACCCTTGGGAAAACTGAACCTCGGGGGAGCAGTCTTGCTCAAACTTTCCCCTTTTAAGTGCCACAATTTCAGCAGGCCCGTTGCGGGGGGTTTTGGTGTCTTGACTTATGGTTATTTATGTACTGCATAAAAGTAAATCGCCATATTGTATCGAAAGTCTGCATTTTAGACCGAAAGAGGCTTTTGTAAATTGTTATGTGGATGGGAAATAATTTATTGGTTACGATAAAAAAAAAAAGTGCATTAGCTTTATAACTTACAGCAGTAGCCTACACATTATTGGTTAGTCTACACACACACACACACACACACACATATATATATATATGCGCAGCATTTATTGCACACATTTTTTTTTCCTACGAATTATTATAACTATGTTATGTATGAATTATTATAGCTATATTACGATGTGTGGAACATGCATATGTGTGGCTAACCGTGAAATGACTTCAGGCTGTTGTTGTGAAGACAGGACACCATCACATCACAGTGAGGAATAAACGGGGCTGGAACCCATAATTACTCGGACACTTCCAGCTCCTCTCACACCCGCCCCGGGCGATAAACCACAGCCAAAATACACCTAACAGAATAAAGCCAAATGCAAGCGCAAGCGCGAGAAAAATCACAATAATCGTTTAAATCATTATCATAATCTTATTTGAAAGGCACGGATAATGGTGTGCGCTGTGGTGACATAAAAGCCATGCAGCCGATAGGAATAATACATAATGCAGCAGAGCACTGTATCCTTGCACAGAAACTGTTGCTCCAGTAGTGTGAGTGATTCTCTCCCATGATGCCTGTGTCGCTGTCACAGTGTAACACACACACAGAGAGAGGTGAACAAGGAGGAAAGTTTATCACTGTCCTGTCTTTTTGGCAGAAACAGGTCATTGGTTTCTACAGCACAAACGCCCCCTTCATCCACCCCCACCATCAGCACCGCCCCACGCCGTTGTCTTTTTGAAGATGCCGCCAGTATCTCTGAAGAACTAATCCATTTATCTAGTTTCATGAGTGCACTGGGTGAATACCTTCAACAATGGCTGGGCCCTGCTGGGAGCTGCGAGTCGGGGAGTCCAGGAGTCACTCACGTCCACACTTGCCAGACACCATGTTATGGTTTGACTACTGCGCTGTTCCTGCTTTCCAAAACAACAATAGAGGGTGAATGGGACGGATACCTTGGTCATCGTCTTTTCATCCCAGGAGCGATGGGTTGCTGTTGAACATGCCACCGGATGAGGCTGGGCCTCTGAGAGAGAGAGAGAGAGAGAGAGCGAGAGAGAGAGAGAGAGACAGAGAGAGACACAGAGAGAGAGAGAGACAGAGAGAGAGAGAGAGAGAGAGAGAACAAATAGCAACAAGGGACAAGGACTGCTAGTGGCTTTTACAATCACTGTGTGCTGGTGGAAAAACAGCAGTGAAAACCCAGACACACAGATAAATACTTCTTCCAATCATCTGGAAAAAAAGTGTTGGTGGATTTGCATAATATGACAAGTATGAGATTTGAAATACATATAATGTAGACTGGGGGAAAATAAATGGTGTAGTATTTACCTTAAATTGTCATGTTCAATTCAGTGTGTTACTAGATGTTTATTTGTGAAATTTACTAGCAATTTCTGAGTGAAAATTGTTTTAAAGTAGAAAGACTGAAATAGTATGTTCTTGTAAAACATAAATAATCTTTGTTTTATTTACAACTTCAAACAAATATTTTTTTTACAAATATAATGTGTTGTAGACAATATTTTGTATTATATAATTGAAATATTTTTTTGTATTTAAATATTTTACATATACAAATAATAATAATACTATAAAATTCAACAACAATAATAAAAGTAATAATGATAATAATAATGATGATGATTATTATTATTATATTTGTATTTATTTATTACCACTTAAAGACTATGAATATAGACAAGGAAAAAACGACAATGCAGTCAGATTTCTTCAGATTTTCAGTTCAGATTTCAGCATTCTAAGAAAAAAAAATACAAGTAGAAATAGTTTGAGATAAACTGTAGACATAAAACCTTTGATGCATGAATTATAAAATTAGGAAAGAGGAGAAATATATACACATTCTTAGCAATTATTCTTTGCATTTTAAAACAAGAATATAATCATACCAGTCTTCTTTTTTTTATAAGTTATTCATTTCTTTATATTGCACCTCTTTCATCAGACATTTAGAATTTGTGTTGTCATAAACAAAAAGCTAGAAACAAAAGTACAGTCATATAGGATTATGAGGAAGGGTCAAAGGTCATCAGTCATGTAACATCACACCCTTAAATTGGTTTCTAAATCTCAGTCCACTGCAGTGAAAGTCACGCATCAAAGAGGTTTTTAGACATGTTCTGGAAATATTTAAAGTGGATTTCTTTGGATGCATTGGGGTTTTTAAAATGCAAACACATCAAATAAACAAACACACACACACTGTGAGATACAACTAGTAGCAAAGACGTCAGGCAGGCAGTTGCCTGCTGTATGTCTGCTTATAACGCACTTTTCCCGGTGTCTGTTCCTGCAAAGCCTAACGCAGACTCTCTGACCCTTCCCCGAGGCTGCTATTGTCTTGTGCTGCGCCTAATAAACAGCAGACAGCCGTTACAGAGCTTTATCCCTCCTCATGAAAATTTCCACAGAGATGGATAATAAAGTCAGACTTCCCTGCGCTGCTTTCTGATGTGATGCCACTGTGGGTTTGGGTTAATTCCAGAGGTCTGTACAAAGAGGAGTGGATGTATGTGAAGTGTCACCCAGCAGCTGGGGCCCGGCTCTGTTATTCCCCTCCGCACATGTGCACCGCAGAGGCTGATATCAGATCGCTCCTCTAATCTGCATCGCGGCCCATGCCGATTTTTCTCGAATCGGGATCTAAAGCCGCAGTTATCAGACTGGCGTCCGCTCGCGTGTTATTGGCCGAGCGATGGCTGCCGGGGGTTTGAAGCAGCCGTGGATGATGGATTAGTTTGATGCAGCAGATCAAACACTGATATGGTTGAGTATACATTAGCGAATGTGGACACAGTGGAGTCCGACCAGTTCCTTATTCCCGTTTGGCTCGGTGACCTGGAGGTGTTTGATGTTGCCCAACCCTGACTCGTTAGCATTCAGGGTGTGATCGTACAGTACGCCATCCTCAGTGGCATCACGACACCAAAACAAACTCCTCATGCTTCACAGGCAACTCTAACACAGCTGAGGGAAGAACTCACAGCGTTCACACTGAACAATCACACATCAAGAGCCCGAGGCTGAACTAATGTCAGCATGTGACTAAAGAATCATGCTGCCTTCAGTATAGAGAGCACAACAGTCGATTCCGGAAGTAAAAATCCTGTTGATTTATGCCATTAGGGAATTGAATTTAAAGACAGACACACTTTGAGCGATGAGGTTGTTACATGCTTTTATCGAAGCCATCATTTCACATTATTTCAACTTAATTGTGTTTAACAGTGGAATTTCTGGTGAAAAACTACATTACCCATAATTCTGCAAAACATCTCCACCAATTAGGGAATCAAAACCAGCGAATCGCACATAGCGCCCACTGAAGCACCACAAATGACTCAGTATCCCAATATATGTATAATATATTGTATAATATAATGTTTCTATATACATAATCAACTTATTTGAATTAATAGTTTTACATTCCTCCATGGTTTTTAATTCAATAATGCCATTGGCAATGCTTCATGGGATTGTAGTTCTTTCCCTCACGAAAGCTGTCAAGATCACAGTCTTGTATCTTTGTCTTTCTGTCTGATTTGCAAACACTTTTTGCTTCATTCAGATTGTAGTGCTGTGTGCAACATTTATCTTCTTGCTGCTTGGGTTAGTTCATGGCTTGTAACTCTTAAATAAAGATTTTTTTTATTTATTTATTTTTTAATCCCTTTGGGACAAATGAATGGAAAACATACTTTCAGAACAAGTGGGTGATCTCATTACTACAACTATTGGACTTTTTCTGTTTGTTTGTTTTTAATTTGCAAGCCTAAGTGTTCAACTTCATCCTGCAGTGATCCTCAATGTCATGTGTGTTGTTGATGAAAGGTGTCCTGCTACTTTACTATGTGATTAGATGCACCACTTCAGTGCATCAGCACTTCACGGATCAGAAAACAAGTGAAAAAATCCCACAGATGCACATTGAATGACCCAGGCCATATCTACAGATCCTAGCAAAGGCATAGCAACAAGCTAAAAACCACTTAGGAACACCTTTGCAACCACATAGCATTACCTGGCAACTCCCCATGACACACTAGCTCATAACAAGTTTTTCTGCATTGGGAAGCACCACTAGTTGAACCAAGGACAGCAGGAATGTGACTGAAATAGCTTCACAATGAATAATGCTAATCGCTGTTGCAACCCTCAAAGCCAA